TATACATGACAACGAATTGGGTATTTCCATGGGGTATTTCTACTTGCGTTTGTCGGAAAAATCGAAAGTTGTGGTGGCTGCCATGCAATTCGGTGTTCGAATTTCGTGGATTACGCGCATCTTCCAAGTTCGGTGCAATGGCGTGCTTCCGGCAACATCATTTGTGAGATTGCTGGTCTTCGTACATTCGTTGGATCTTGCTGACGACGCTATGTCGCTGTTAGCTCTAGGTCACATGACCACTTTAACTCGGGACGCGCGGCTTTACCACCGCAAAGCTGCAGCAGCACCAGAGATTCGAGATGCACGCACTTGAAGTTCAAACGGCATTTCAAAGCCCCGTCGTGCAGCTCCGTCTTGCGCAAGAGCCTATCATGAGGGTATCTTGGCGAAACCAAGTGGTACCATTCGACGCGGCCATCGTTGTCGTCCCACGCAGTCTACAGGCTGCTGCTCCATGCATGGACGTACCTTGTCCATTCTACCGCTTGCAAGCGTCAGAAAATTCTGGGTCTGGAGGTTAACATGTGTGGAGGACAAGTGTTAATTAAATAGTCGTCATAAGTTGAGAGTGTCTAGGGCCATGTTGGCCATAAAATAGGAATGCAGAGAATTTGTCTAGAGAAGGAGGAGACGGCGAGACGGTTTCTTGGCCAAGAGGCGTTTGCAGCCGCGCGGTTTCCGGAGCTCGTTGGCGCGGTGGAGCGAGTACAGCATCGTCGCTTTGTGGAGCATGCTCGAGACGACCTTGGACGTGAGAATGCGGAGGGGCGGCAGCGGCTTTGTCTGCCGCAACGATCGTTGGCGCACGAGCTTGGGCACAACCGCCGTCACTGGCGTCGTCACGACCGGCGTCAGGTGCGTGAGCGTATCCAGGTCCGTCTCCAGTTCGTGCATGCGAGCTTTAAAGTAGCTCGTGCGCGCATGGAGTGTTCGAATGACGGTCTCGTGGACGTCCTTCTCCTCCTCGAGACGGTGTCGGTGGGTCAAAAGCGTCGCGACGTCGCGCAAAAGCTTGGCGTTGTGGAGTTCGAGCTGCGTGCAGCGCTCGTGGTGCGTCGCCTGGAGGTGCAAGAGGCGGTAGTCCAAGTCGATGCGCGCCATGTTTGCAAGGAGCGTCTCTGAGGACGCCACTAGAGCCTTGGCCTCGGCATCGTTTGCGCGCTGGGTGAGGACCGCGACGTGCGCCTCGTTGGCCGCTTGGAGCTCGCGGATCGTGGCGTGTGCCGCGTCCCGCTCGGCCGTGAGCACTTTGATGCTCTCGAGGGCGGCAGCGAGGTCGCGCTGGAGCTGGCGCGTCTGGGCCGAGAGTGCAAGATACAATGTGTTGGCTGCGCTTTGTGTCGTGTCGACGGTCAGTGCTGGCCGCACCTTGGCTTCCAGGATCGGTGATGCCGTCGTGAGGAGCGTAGTCGGGCTCAGCGAGAACTCCTTCTTGACAAACCACGGGGTGTCCACGGCGACCACGACGGGCGGCGCGACCATGGTGATGTGAAAGGAATTCTGAACTGCACATCTCGTCGTTCGACAGTCGAGCGGTCGGGCGAGTGTGTCTGGAGCGTCACCGCCCACCCAATAATACGTGCGACTTCAATCAAATCTCAATACCGACGACGGTGATTCGCTGTCGGCAATTGCCGATTACCTACACGAGAGCGACGCCGTGGTTCTCTGATTCACACCCAGCAACCTAACAAAGCTATACGTGATTGTGTCTTGTTGGCGGCACTGGCTTGTCCGCGACAGCACTGTCCAGCGATCCACCCTGCGAAGCGCGCGCGGCAAGCTACTTGTTGCATAGAACCGAGCCGCCACAGGAGGATAAGTACAGCTAGTGCTGCATTACACCGGCACCTGATCGGTCGTGCGCAATGAACTGTCAAGCTTGGTGTCGCAAGACCGCACTCCACGCTCTCCTGGTTGGTTCGAGGCGATCGCAGACGCCACGAAGATTCGAGCAACAGCAACTTCGCAAGTGCAAACTCACGTGTGGAAGTGCAAAGTCAAATGTGGCCACCATCTCGTTGATGGCCACACCAAATTCGAACGATCGCCGTGCAAGCGCCACTTGGTCGATGGTTGATTTCGAGAGAGCAGTTCTGGACAGCACACGTCGCCATATCGGTTCATTGCCTTGCGCTCACGTTCGTCGACCGCGCTGCAGAGATGAATTCATTGTGGCGCGCCTACCCACTAACACTATTTAAACGCATATCGTGCGAAAGTACACGGTACTTGACTCCAAAAGATCGAGCTGCGTGCTGACGTGCGCGCGCTCGTCTTGCGATGCACAACACACTGCAAACTGCGCAGCGTAGGCAAGTTAGTGAGCATGGCGTTGGTTGCATTACCGTGGCCACCGTGCCGCAGTCCCGTCGTGCACGATCTAAAGATTGTTACACTATTTCCTGTCGATTTTTGTTGGCCAATCCGGCGCCGCGACGGTCCGAAAGGTCGCGTCGGTTTCGCGATCAAGTCGCGCCATGTCGGACTCGTCGCACTGAAGATCCAGTTGCGATTTCAAAGGCATGGACGACGACGGCCGAGGCGTGCACCAAGCGCTTTGGGACGCCGCCGCGCAGCTGAGTCCGCGCCGGGCGCCAGACGATGACGCCGTCGCGACGACCACGCTACCCTTCTACGAGCACGTGCCACCTGCCGAGGCGCTCCGGCGACTCTTCGTCTGGTTTCGGTCGCCGACCGATCGTGACGGCATGAGCCGAGATGCGTTCAACCGGCTGCGTTGCGCAGTGCACAGCGCCGAGGTGACCCAAGAGCAGTGGACGCTGGCGATGCGCGCGCTCGGCAACAATCACAATGCGTTTGTGACCGAGGCCGAGTTCAAGGAGCTCTTTGGTCCACCGCCGTTCTTTGGTCCAACGGCGTCGTCGACGCACTTACCGCCGCAGCTGCTTCTCGTGCAAGAGGTGACGCGCATGGAGGCGTTCGTGCACTTTCTAAAGCACCTCTTTGAACGGTACGCGACCGACGGCGTCACCATGACGTTCGAGAATCTCAAATCGCTGCGACGCCAAGCCGGCATCGCCACGCCGCTCGATGTGGCGACGTGGGAGTCGCTCTGTAAGCGCGTGCAGGCACCGCTCGAGTCGATGAACTGGATGCAGTTTGCGTCCGCGTGGCACATCAACTTGCATACTAACAAGCGCGAGGGCCCGCGGGGCTTTTGCTACCCGCACGTCCACCCGAGCGACGCCGTTCACGCGTGTGTCGCCGACGAGAAGGTGCAACTGCACTTTAGCAAGCACGATGTGGTGTCGCGCGAGACGTTGCATCAGCTCTTGGAGGCCACGTCCAAGCCCGAGACGTCGTCGTTTTCGCTGCTCAAAAAGAGAAAAAAATCGAGTAAAAGAGCCATGACCGACGACGAATGGTGCGCCATGCTCGAGAATCTGCAAGCCGCCGAATACCCGCTCCACGACGAAACCAACAAGAACGCCATCGAGTTGCATCCGCAGCGCCGGGTCAAAGACGTACGCTTGCCGACCAAGCCCCACGACACGATCATCCACACGGCCAACAACCTTATGATGTACGAGATTGCCTTTGACGAGCTCGGACCGATTGGGCTCCAAGTGCAAAGTGACTTTTTCGGCCAGTGCATGGCGATCCGCGCCATTGACGGTCAAGCCAAGAAGCACGCGCTCATCCAGCTCAACGATATCGTGGCGTGCGTCGACGGTCGTATGACCATCTATGCGCCCGCTTCGTCTGAGGCCGACGAGGCGACGCGCCAGAGTGAAATGCAAGCCATGTTCGATACCCACGGTACGGAGATGACATATATGTAAGGACACTAGCACACAGGGTTATGTGTAGGCAGCAGCAGCCAGCGCATCGTGTTTTTGCGCCAAGAAGTCTATTACAACAACCTGCAAGCCACCGACGGCATCCGCGTCGTGCTTCAGACATACGCCGCGCTTGAGAAAGGCGACACGTTCACAGTACGACTACCACCCGGGTATACGCCGGTCGATCCACGCAGCAAGCGGTTGCGCATCGAGTTCGAGTCCCAATTGCAGTACGAGCTTGTACCCGAAGCCAGCGTCGAGGAGGGCATTGTCACGATTACGCTGACAGGACCGAAAGGTCTGGCTTCCCACTCGTATATGACCATGGTACTGCATGGGATCGTATGCCCGCAGTCGGTCGTCGCGGGGCCCGGTGACATCTCCCACGTCGATGGCGCGACAGTCGTCAAGCTCTATGCGGACTGGACGCCATGGCAGCGCCTCGTCACCGACGCGTTTGCCACCAAGCCGCTGCGCATCGACGAAAGTCGCTTCTCCGACCCGTCGTTGACGCCCAAGACTCTGAGCGTCGACCAAGGGGACTCGGGGATCACGCTCACGTCGGACTTTTACGGCCAGTGCGCGGTTGTTGCGAGCATCTCGCCGCTCAAAGGCATCACAACCATCTTGCCCGAAGACGTGCTGAGCTGCGTGAGCTACACCAATGCGGACGGCGTCGTCGAGCGCGTGAGCTTGATCAAGCCATTTGCGCTCTCGTCGTCGGACGCGACGCGGCACTTCAAGTACGTCGAGAGCGTGCTGCAGGAACGCGCCTCCTCCCAGACACCGTACACGCTCCAGTTTTTGCGCCTCCACTCGTTCTACGTGCAGAACGGACTCAAGACGACGCTGACGTTCGATGCGCTCACGCGATTGGAGGCGAACGCAGTGATTGCCATCGAGATGCCCAACTCGGATTGGCGCGCACCGGACTTTGATGCAATGTCGGCCATCTTTGTCAAGCCAGAGGGACTCAACGTCGCGCGCATGCACTGGGACGCCGGCGCCCACTATTTTGAAGTGACGCTCGGTGAGTGTGCGTTGGAAGTAGGGACGCAGCTCGTGCTCGAACTCGTTGGCGTCCAAGGACCCGCCGAGCGCACGGCAGGGCCATCGGAAATCACGTTTGTGGGAGCAAACCGCATGCGGCTCGAGCTCCACGAGCATTGGCACTCGTTTCTTGGCGGCTGGAGCGGCATTGCAAGCGATCAGCTCGTCAACGTGCTTGCGACGCTCGAGACGACGCCGCTTGATCTCTGGACCGTCCTCGAGTACTCGCACCTGCTCTTCCGCATGTATGCCGACAAGGCGACATCGCACATGACGCTCGCTCGCACCAACGTCCTCCGCGCCGCAGTGTTTGGGCCTGGTAACGATATGGACGAAGAGACGTGGCTTCGTGCGTGTCGCCGGGTCCACGCCGCCCCTCGCAAGGGCTTGGACGAGAAGCAGTTTGCTGTTGCTCTCTTGCAGCTCCTCGGTGACAAGGTGTCGCCCAACGACATTCAGCGTATCTACGTGTTTGTGCACTCGGTTGAGAAGCTCTTTTGCACGGCGCTCGACCTCTTTGAGCCAGCGCACGTGATGGAGCTACACGAACCCAGCATGCGCGCGCTCCACCGCGCCGTGTTCCAGCACCTTCCGTTCCGGACGTTCCAAGACAAGTTGTGGCGCCTCGGGTCGCAAGGGCGCTGGTCCTTGGACGCGTTTGGCCGGGGCTTTTACCAGGCGCAGCGCGACGGCATGGACCCTGTCGCAGCGTGGGTCAAATTGCACTACGCGTCGGCACTCTTTGATCAGTTTGCGCGCATGAGGTATTGAAACTTTTGGTTGATAGATTGATAGTAACCAAGGGAGGTAGTGAAATGCAGCGCGACAACTGGCGCGACATGCTCAAAGCGCGCAAGTCGGACATCATTTTGGACGAAGACTTGTGGACGAGTCTCTGCGCGTCGGTCGTCGGCAACCACGTGACGCCGTCGCGGGGGCTCACAAAAGGCGGGTTTGTCCAAGCGTACCACTCGAACGTGCTCGGGCCCGTGCGTGATGCGATGGTCGACTGGAACTACATTCAAGCGTACAGCATCGAGCCCACGGCCCACCAGCGCAGCATTAGCGGTACGTACACTCAACTCGCTGCAACCGATGCGATGGCATCGCGTAGACGCCGTCGAGGCGCAGTCGGCGGTCGCGCCCGAGAAGCTTCGCGTCAACGACATTGCGACCAAAGCGCTCGAGGCGCTAGTGAGCACGGACGATATCGCCGAGGAAGCGATCAAGCTCAACATTGACTTCAAGCGTACCGATGTGGTCGAAGAGCGCGTGATCAAGTTCAAAGAAGATGCTCTCACAACAAACTTTGCGTCGTATGCGGTGCGTCGTGACGCGTCATTGAGCATGCACGTGTGACGCGCTTCGTAGGCGGCGCGCGATCGGGGCTTCTTACATGTCCGCGTCAAGAGTGTCTGCGAACTACGCAAGGACGACGATGACGACGGAGAGGACATGGACGACGACGACATGAACACGACACTCGACGAGTACTATGTCGTCATGTACACCATCTCCTCGGACGAGTGGCGCAACGAGTTCAAGCCCGTCGTGCGCACGTGGGCCGATTGGCGCCAACACATTGGCGCGACGCTCAAACGCAAAGCGCTCGAGCTATTGCGGGGCCAGCGCAAGGAGCCGTATGTGTGCGGTCCCCACGAGCTGTGGGACTTTGCCGAGTCACAGGCGCTGGCGGCCGAGTACGCGACCAAGGCAACCGAGTTTCTCGAGCAAACCGAAGGTAAACGGCTCTGCAACTGTCGAGGTGGTCACCCCATACAATGCTAGTCGATGACGCGCTGCGTGACGACATGACGCAGCTCTGCGAGCGGTTCAACCCGTACTCGCCCCTCCTCGCGCCAAAACCACCGCCAGGTACACAAGCATATTGTCTGTCAGCGTACCAATCCCCGCGACCTGTCAACAGAACCGGTTGGCAAGAAGGCACGCAAGGCACCAACGGCCGTCCCCACCGCCCCGGCCGTCGACTTGAAAGCAGGACGCGCCGTGTCCCGTCTCGTCACCGAGGTGAGCCGAAGTACGCACCATGTACAGGTCGTCTCATGGTGCTACGACTAGGACGCCTCGAGCGCAGGCGTTCTTCGGTTCCCCGAAGATGCCTTTCGCCTGTTCGTCGACCGCGAGCAGAGAGCCCCCCGGCAGTCGCACGTTGTTGTCAAGCTCTTCAAGCGCACCAAGTCGGGGCAGAACAAGGCTGCGATCGATGCGCTCAACGTGAAGTCGCGCGAGCTTACGCGCGCCGAGCGCTCCGAGCGTGTGATTCGCGCGCTCTTGCTCAAAACGAAGCTCCACCTCACGCACCGCATTCACGCCAACCTCGGGTCCATTAACAGCGAGATCCAGCTCGAGCTCTCCAAGTTCAAGCGCAAGGAGAAGGATCTTGCTGAGCTCCAAGCGCGGATCCACACGCTGCGCGACGACGTGCATGCACTCGAGTTGCAGCAGCCAACGGCCGCATCCACCAACAACGTTGCACCGGCCTCCCTGATTGGACAGGTCGCTCTGCCGCTCGATGAACTCTTTAGTATTCTGTACAACGACAGCCTCGAGACGGATGACCTCGTCATGCTACTGGACACCGACCGCCATGTCGCGGGCAAAATGCTGCTGCAATTTCAGTTTCAAGCCAGCGCGCCGTGGTGCCGCCCGTCCAACCAAGACGCGCCGCCGCCACCCTTGCGACTCGCGACCGACGGCACGCTCGACTACCCGTCGGAAGCGCCGCTCCACGTCGAGTGGGCCACGAGCGACGAAGCCAATGTCGCCAAGCGCGACACACTCTGCCTCGTGCGTGAGACCGAGCGCCAAAAGCTTGTGCTCAACGCGCCGTTCTTTTTATTTTACTGGAACACGGATATCGGTGACGGGCAGTGGGACTGCTTCCAATCAAGCCTCAAGCTCTACTCGGGCCCGGCGGTTGACAAGGCGCGCGTCATTCAAATGACGCCACCGTCGGGTAACGACAAGGCGCAGCGCGGCACACTTTTACTGCCGTCGTCGCGCGACCTCTCGCTGCCACCGGGCACGTACCGTCTCGTGCTCATGCGCCAAGAAGAGGATGGCGGCCGGAAGTTTCGCTCCGTGCTCGGCGTGAGCCCATGCTTGCACGTCTTTGTGGGCGTCAACAGCGTCCACACGGTCTTTGGCACGACGCCGTTTGTTGATGTCAAGACGGTCCGGTGCGCCATGGCGATCGTCGACAACGCCACTGACAATGCCATCGCGAGCACACTACCGGCGTTGAACGCGACTGAGCCGTGGCTGCGCGCCGCAAGCTACGAGATCGAGCTTGTCAACGCCATCGCAATGCTGCGCACGCAAATTGAGTCGTTGCAGACGCAGCTGCAGTCGCAAGAATCGCACCCGGCTCCGATCCTCGAGGTACAGGACGTGACTGATTGTTGTATGATATTGAACTGTCGCAGGCTATGCAAATGGAAGTCGAGGCCTATACCAACCGTGTCGACGCGCTGGAGAAGCTGCAAGACCAAGGCATTGATGCGATCCGCGACCAAGAACGCCAAGTGTGCGACGACTTGCAGCGCTGCGAGGACCAACTGGCGGTATGTCATCGTGACAGGTCCGAAATGTAACGCCTCTCGAACGGCGTAGCAATGCGAAGCACACAAACGCGCGGTGGTTGCGGCGGGGAACGAGCCGGACGCCGACGTGAGCAAGACGATGCAAGGACTGCAAGCCAACATTGACGATCTCAACGAGACCAAAACGACGCTGGCTATGGTTGTGGCAGAATATTTGCGGCGTCAAGAACCTCCCGCGGCAGTCGTGGCCGCAGGTTCTGGCGCAGAGACGCCGGTCTTTACGTACAGCTCGTACATGCGCGTCGACTGCCTCCTGCAGGGCGAGGCGGCACAGCTGCCGCATTCCCAGAGCACTACAGTGCACGATTACGTGATCGTATTGCCCCAAGTGGTGGTCGAAACCGCCGACAAACTCCGCGTCAAAGTATACCATCCATTGTCAACACTCGAACGCTTATATTTGGCGACGCATAGATTCTGGGCAAGCTCCAGTCGATGAACGTGGAGCGATCGCAGCACGTGCGGGACCAGATCCAGATCGAGCTTCAGATTTTGCTGCGCATCGTCGAGATTTCGAATGCGTGGCTCCTCTCGCGCATCTTCTCGACGCGCGAGTGGTACTCGCTGTACGGACAGCTTGCGCAGCTGCGCTGGCTCTACATCTTTGAGGAGTGCTATCCCGTCTTCCAGAAAGCCCCGAGCGAAGTCCGGCTGCTCTTCCCCTTCATTTTGCAAGAGCTCGCCGACGAACTTCAGTCGCGCAGCCACGAGCTCGAATTGGCACTGCCAACGCGCGTGGTCAATGCCACGCTATCCTTGCGCGAGGTGCGTCTGCTGTATCAATTGATAGTTTTCGAGCGTCTTGTAGGTACCGGTCACTAACTTTACCCCGGCGGGGGGCGACGTGCAGGGTCGCATCGATGGCTCGGTGGCGTCTTTTGTAGGCCTCGACCCTAACTGGCGCAGCTGGACAAACTACCTTCGGCGCTTCTTTGGTCTTGATCCATGCCTCGGGGGCATGTACATTGCCAAGTACATCCGGCGAGGCGGCGAGGTCGGGAACGCCCGCGGCGAGCTCGGTCGCGTCGGGCCATTTGCGATCAACGTTGATGCGGACGAAGCTCAATTGTGGTTCCTTGCGCCTGAGAAGCGGCTCTTGTACACGGAAATGGCCTTCCACCTTGGCGTCACGGCGCTCAAGTACTTTGTGGCGCTTCTCAACTTGTCGTTCAACGTCAACTTTGTCGCCAACCTCGTCGCGTCGTCGAGTTGGTTTAGCCACTCTACGGAGGTTCTCAAGGCGATGAAGGCCGACTGCACCGCCGCGCTCGCCAACGTCCTCTCGTTTGTGTCGGTCGTCATTGGCTGGTTCGACTATGTGTTTTCGTACATCCTCAACTACATCATGGTCGAGCTCAATTTCTTCGACAAATATGTTGGCTGCGGGCAGGGCTACATCCTCCTCCTCATTTGGGTGCTCATGTGGCTCGCAACGCTCTTCCTTTACATTGTGATCCAAGAAGACGTGCTCGTCAAGGTCCAAAAGATCAGCTACTATCTCCCGTTCAACGTTGGCCGGGTCGGCGAAGATCGACTCGAACAACTCGGTGCGCTTCTCGTGAGCCCTGTCTTGATTGTCATCAAGGTCCTCGTGCTTTTCATTGCAAAGCAGTGGCACGCGTACTCGGAGCAAGCGTCGACCGGGTCGCTCTTCAGCCTCACGCGCTACAGCACGAGTGGCGTCGCGTGCCCGGCCATGGAGGTCAACTACGCGTTTCAGGTAGTCTCGGCCGTGCTCTTGGGTGGCTTCTTTTACTTTCTGCTGCCTCTCCTTGTGCTCGATATTTACAGCTGGAAGCCGCCGACCGACTTGGCCAAGGACGCGGACCGACTCGCATTGTCGCACCGCGGGGGTCGCCACGGGATTTGGGCGGCGGTCGCCAACAACGTCAACTTGGTCGAACCACCAACGTCGTGGCCACGCCGGTGCTGCTGCCACCCGTTCCAGCTGTTTTGGTTCGCGGGGCGTGGGAAGCGACTCTTTCGGGACTACCGGCGCTACGACTTTTACAAGCTCACGCTCAAGTACGGTTTTGTCGGCATTTGGTTTGTCATCCTCTACATCTACTCGGTTCTCATGCTCCAAGCGGTCGCGCGCGCGCTCGGCGCCGTCTTTGGGTGGCGCGGCCGGGCTGACTACATGTACGACAAGCCGCATTTACGGCCGTATGGGACATCGCACCTCGACCGGATCTGCTGTCGCTTCAATTGGTACTGGCGTCGGTCGTGGGTGGTGCAAAAGGTCCTCCAGCCCATGTACAACTGCGCCTTGGTAACAATCGGCGCGTGGACGACGGGGGAGTGGACCACCTACGACATTGAGGAGCGGGCCAAAAACTGTTTCCCGATGGAGCCCAACAACGAAATCAAGCAGCTGCAAATGATGTCGCTGCACGGCAAGGTATTGTCACGATAGCAATCTTGTCCTTGTATCGATGAATCTATGATGTAGGTCAACAGTCTGATTTGGCTGCCATTTCCCGTCATTGGTTTCCTGGCGTACGTCTCGGACATTCTCAATCGCGGACCGATTTTGAGTTACCTTCTTAACCGCATGGTACTGTCGATAAACTCGGAACGACGCTAAGTGCCATGGTATTAGTTTCTCCAAGTCGACAAGCCTGCGAACGAGCGGGATCCGAGTGTGCGCTGGAAGATCCATCGGTGGATGCCCGAGTGCGTCGCAGGCAAGCGCGTCCGCTGCGGTGTCGTCGACGACAAGACCGTGTGCCTGCCCGACACATGCTTTTACACGACATTGGCCAAGTGGGGCAGCTCGGTCTTGGAGCTCGCGATGGTCGTTGCGCTCATCGCCGAGCCGCTCCAGAACCCAAATGGCGCAGCCAACAGCGCCACGATGAAGTGGAAGGCGCAAGTGGCCCTCCTCGCTGCGACGATCGCACCGCTTATCGAACTCAACCAACAGGCCCTCAAGTCGTACAAAAAATTCCTCGAGCTGCGCGACACGATGCAAAGCACTCTCGTGTCCGAGGGAAAATCGCTGGCGCAGCAGCAAGCTGGCCGAGTTGGTGCGCCGATCGAGATGGCGTCGGCGGCCAACGCCGAAGTCCAAACGCTTTTGGGCACCAACGACGAGAACGATGGCAACAGCAGCGACGAGGCAGAGAGCGACGACGAGAACGATGACGATGACGGCAGCAAAGACCTCATCGTGCTCACGGCGACGCCCGAGACGAGCTTTGTCATCCAGAGCGACCAACTCGACGAAGGCGAAGGCGTCATCACGGTCAATTGGCGTGTGAATGCGTCCCGGCGCTTCCACGCGTTTGACGCGATCGGCATGTTTCCGAAGCGCTCGCTGGCCGACACGCTCGTGAAGCGCACAATGGACGAGTGTCTGTGCTACCGGCTCGTGTCGGAGCTCCGCGTCGAGCCGTTTGGGTGGCGCCCGACCACAAACGCTCATGGCAACGAACTCTCAAGTGGCGTGCACTCGACCAAGATGCTCCAGCACGCGCTCTTTTTGGATAAAGTCACGCAACACGAGATCGGCGAGCTCTCGCGCAAGTCGATACACCAGCGCAAGGCGTCGCTCGTGCCCGCGCCCGACTCGGTCGATGCGATCGACGCCGTCTTGGACGCAGCGCCGGACGCCGTCAACCTCGACCGCGCGACCTTTGTGCTGGAAAACACGCTGGCTTCGGGCACCATTGAGCCGTACGGGAAGCAAATGTCCGAGATGTTCCACGACGAGATGCACGAGGTGACTTTGCGTCGTCCAAAAACGTCAAAGTACCACGTGTGCTCTGTAGAAACAAGCGGCCTTTCGCACGCTCAGCGTCGACGACGCCGACGACCACAAAGCCGGTGGCTCAAAGGACGCGCGCGACACGCGGGTAGGCCATAAAATGGGGTTGTGTCCATAAATGACGTGGCACGTCGTATGCGTAGCGCGTGAGTGGCCAGGTCAAGTTTCGACCGGCCAATAGCAACGAGCACGACGACCACCCGCAGCACGAAGATTACGTCTTTGGCAACAGCGCTGGCATCTTCCCATGCAAGTATGGGCTCGAACGCTACGAGTTCTTTTACCTCAAGTACACGGGGCACCACACTGCGCACTCGACGACGACGCCCTTGTACGAGGTCGTGGTCGACTCGAGCCGCGACAACGACGCCAAAGACCGCAATGATCCGATCGTCGAGACGCGGCGCGGCGACTACGAGCCGCTGGTCAAGTTTACGTCCAACGCCATCTCGATCGGAACATTCGACCTGTTCATTCGGCTCACGAGCGACACGCCGCTTGTGTGGGCCAACCAAGCGGTCAATTTGACGTGGGAGATCTTTGGCGTCAACTACCGCGTCCTCTCGCATCCACGCAACCGCAACTGCATTGCGTTTTTCAAAGTCCGTGATATCCACAACACCCGCATGTGTGCCAAGGTCGACATTGTGCCCCCGTCGGCGTTCCTCGAGCCGCACGGCGGCGGCCCCGTTTCGGGGCGCATGCTCGTCTTTACGCCGAGCGAGCCCGGCATGTACGAGATTCGGTTTCTCTTCAACTACTTCCACGAAGCCAAGTTGCACCGGCGCTGCCAGGTCTTTGGCCAGCTCGAAGAGCAAATGCAGCTCCAGCGCATCAAGTACCTCTTCCAGCGCCGCGACCTCGCGCGCACGCTGAGCCTCCTCCAGCAACAAACACTGAGCGCATGGACGCAAGCGCTAGTCTACACGTACGCATGGTTGCATCCTGTCTTGAGCTACCTCCTCGACAAGCCCGTGCCCGACTCGGTCGTCAACAACCCGGGCCTCTTTACGCGCTACATGGTACGTGAAGCCGCGGGCCAATTGGCGCTGCTCGCCGAGACGGACCATTCGCAGCTGCAAGGATGCCTCACGCAGCTGCTCTCGCCGCTCCGGTCGCGCTCGTTCATTGCGTTCTTTGGTGATGCTTTCAACGGGAGCGAGGAGATGCGGACGCACGCGTCCACAATCGAGTTTGTGTCGCCCAGTGACGCGACCCGCGACGTCTTTTTGGATGCCAAGACGAGAAGCATTGCGCGGTGGCCCGCTGCGGTGACCGTCTCGCCCGAGATTTGGCTTCTACATGACGACAAGGTGCTGCTGGATGCGGGCCCGGACAACTTTGAAGCCCTCGCGCTCGAGTACCTCAGTCGTCCGCTGCTGCCGGGCCGCGTCGACATTCTCGATGAGCTGATTCTCGACAACCGCGCGCTTCTTACGACCGCCAAGCTAGTACGTGGCGGCATGTGCTCTAAGATCTTGGACAAGTATCGTGATTAGGTGGTCGAGAGCGTCGCGACCGCAGCGTGTGGCTTGTACGAGCCTGCGATCGCAAGCGTCGTCCAAAGCTTCCTCAAGCAAGCCAAGCAAGCGGAAAAGCTCGGGCTCTTCCAAGACCTCGCGGTAGCATTTCAAAACAAAGTGCAATCTCATGACGTGGCATCCCCAGGTGCCGCTGCAAGACGAGAGCCGCAACCATATCCAGCGCCTCATCCGCGCGCTCTTTGAGACGCACAGCCGGTCTGGCGACCGCTTTGTGGGCTGGGACACTGACGCTGCGCGCCCCCAATTGGGGTTGGATGTGCTCCAGCACCAAGCTCTGCGGGCGTGGCTCAAGCCCAAGTGCGTCCAAGGCATCGTCAAAGTGCTCAAGCGCCGCTTTGCACTGCTCACAGCCTCGAACAGCGCGGTGGCGCTGCAGCTCGTACGTGCGACAGCGACCAAGTTCGGATGCCGCCGCCCCACCGTTCCTCTCGTGTCCACCGCCGCCGTCGGGTTGCGCAGGCGCACCGGTGCGTCGCTCGACCGACGACGCGGAATAAGATTCTCACATGTGACTAGGCAAATCGGTCGTCTACTTTCTCCGTGAGGCCGAAACGAACGAAGCGACACTGCCGACACATGCGTCGTAGAGCTTCCATGTATCATCATTGCGTGTCGATAAGAATCACTGTTTTCATGTGCCCACGAATTGAGTGACAGCTAGAGCGCAGTGTCTTCCGAACAACGCGCCGACTCGTGGTCGAGTGCGGGCGGGTCCCACGTCGTGCGCTCATTGACGTGGTCGATGTAGAAGCAACGGCCCTTGGCGTCAATCGCCGAGTCCCACCCTGGTGGCAGCGCTGGGGCATTAGCCTCGAGTTCAACACGGGCCTTGGCGACAAACGCCAGTAGCCGACTGCGGTGCGCCGCCCCATCCGACGACAGTGGGCGCTACAACGTCCGTTGCATGAGATAGCACGACAGGTGGAAGAGGACCTTTGGGGCTGCACATGCTTTGCGTGGGTTGGGGGATGGGGACCTACGCCTTACCGTACAGCGCCAAATGAAAAGTTGCATCGACCTACAGCAGCCGATTGCGCTTGGCTTTGGCTTGCGGTGGCCGGGGAGAGACCTGTGCGCGGTATTTGTTCGCAAAGGACAGCGTCAAACCGACGATGTACCACGTTGTGTTTACGGGTCTCGGGGTGCATGGCGGGAAAGTCGGTGCGCGGACTGCCCGCAATGAGTCGTGCCGTGGTCTAAAGGACAGCGCTATAGAGTTCCATCGCATCGCTACGTCGCATGAACCTTGGCTTTGTACTCTTCAATGTGCTGGTTCATATACGCGAGGCGTTGGGCGTGGTCCCGGAACTGCTTGCGCTCTCGGTACGGACTCGTCTTCCAGCGTACATCACTACGCGACCATTTTAGCGCCCAAGCGATGCAAGAGACAGACATGACGCTGTCCTGGTCGAAGGCCGGCGGGAACCCTAGTAGACTCATCGTTGGGCTCGAACCAAGAGGGGTGCAGCGGCGTACGTGGTGGCGGCGGCACGTAGGGTGAAATCTCCTTGGGGGGTTCTACACGTCTCTGCCATTTACATGCAAGGCGCAAGAGATGCAATTACGACGCGGCGACACAATGTGCGACGTCGTCGTCGGGTGGTACGTCGTCTTGGCAATGACCGCTTGGAAACGCTTGAGCTCCATCGCTGTCTGCTCCTTTCCGCCGGCATTGCGCTCGTCAAAGCCGCCAATGCATCGTCGATTCACTCGGTACATGCTGTGAAATGCCCAAGTCTCGTAGTACGCTTCTCGATTCAACTAAAATTAGCCAACGACAAGTGTGCGCTACGTTCTAAACTCCGAACAAGAGATAGTTGATGCGCCCGGCCAACCACGTGCTCCAAGAGGCCACGTACACGGACGTGTATGTTCATGGCCACGACGTACCAGGTGGCATCTCTGCTGTCGAAGCTGCATGGTACGCATTGTACAGTTAGTCCCTCAACTACAAACCATTCTGGTGTAGGACGCGGCTCTTACAGCGGCACCGGCACCTCTACTTTGACGTAATGGCGCCGCTCTCACAGTACAGTCCCGACGACAAGCGGCCGTTGTACTACTCGCCGACGCAGCTTACCACCGCAGCCGCCACCATTGAAGCCCGCACTGAGCACGTCGTCGCGCTTCAGCACCAGCTTTTGCTTGATTGGCATAAGGGCGCCACCTTCTTCCAGGCCGCGTGGAGAGGTTTTGTCGCACGGCGCATCACGCGTCGCCAGCGCTTTCTGCTCAAAATCGAGCGGGTTGACCACCTATACTTTGTTGCGTTTCACCGCCGCCGCCTCGCGCTAGCGCGTCGGGAGCGACGGGTTCGAAAGGCCGCTGCGCACATCAAGGTGCGCTCTTGCCGTAGAGGTCGCCTGCGCTGAGGATGAGCATGCTAGTGTCTGGCACGGCGGGCCCATGAACGAGCGGCGATCGTGCAGCGCAGTGTCCGACTCTACCTCTTCAAGTGCGAACGCTGGCGCGCCGCCGCTACGCTCGTGCGCTGGTACCGCCTCGTCTCCCGTCGCGCCAAGCTACGTGCGTGCGCACGGCGGCTGCAGCGGTTTGTCCACTGGAAACGACGCGAAGAGCAGCTCAACGAGCTCGCCGCCGTGGCCGTGGCCGCGCGACGCCAGCATATTGAGGCCAAGCAAGCCGCGTACTTTGCGTTGCAGCCCGACCACGTCATTGTGCACCGCCTCGTCATGGCGCGCAAGCAAGACATCTACCGCGCCTTGCACCCGCAGCAAGCGTTGAACCAGCGACTTCATTCAAGTGGCGAGATGAGCGTCGCGCCATTGCGGCTTCCGATGGCCTCGAACGCCATGCTCGCCAAAGCCTCAGTGGCCCGGTCCAAGCTGCGATGAGCATGCGTCGCGCCGGGTCAACTCTATCTGTGCATCTAGTTAGTCGATAAGCGCCATCGAGACGAAGGCGGACGGTTCGAAAAAAGCTTCGAATTTTGCGATCTGACCGGTTTGTCCGGATGATGACCTCGTTGGCGGTTTCTCAAGCGGTCGATGGAGTACAGCGAGGTGGACGGGCTCGACGAGCCGCTTTTGGCGACCAACGAGGCCGGCGCGCCGTTCGCTGCCAGCGTGCGCAGCTTCAGCTTTTGCGGCGGCGCCGCCGTCGGCGCGGCCTTTCCGTCCAACCGCGTCACGACGTCCAAGTACACGCTCGTCAGCTTTGCGCCCAAGTTTCTTGCGCAGACGTTTACAAAGATGACAAACATCTACTTCCTCTTCATCTGCATCCTGGAGATGACGCCGGGCATCTCGACATCCGGCGGCATCCCGACGACCGCGCTGCCGCTCCTAGTCGTCATTGCCATTGACGCCTTCTTCCAGGTCGTCGAAGACTACGCGCGACATGTCGACGACGACGTGGCCAACCACCGGGTGGCGCACCGGTTACTCTCGACGGGCGCTTACGAGTCAACTACATGGCAAGAGCTCCGCGTCGGCGACATTGTGCGCATCTTAAACGGGTCCATCGCGCCGGCCGACGTCATTCTACTGCAAGTCGAGTACGGCGTCGACGAAGCGCCACGGCACTACAGCTACGTCGAGACGTCGAGCTTGGACGGCGAGACGAACTTGAAGATCCGCGAGGCGCTGCCCGAGACGCACGGCCGGTCACTGCACCGGCTCGAAGGCGTGGTCCAGTGCGACCAGCCCAACGCCTCGGTCAACTCGTTTAGCGGCCAGCTGCATTTCGCCGATCGCTTGGCGTCGACGCCGCTCCAAGCCACGAACGTTCTCTTGCGGGGCTGCATCTTGCGCAACACGCCGGCGGTCGTCGGCCTTGTCTTTGCCACCGGTCACGACACCAAAGTGCTCCAGTGCGCGCGGGCGTGTCCCAACAAGCGCAGCTTTGTTGAGAGCCAAGTCAACCGCGAACTCTGGTGCATGGTCATGCTCCTCTTGGCGAGCTGCGGCGCGGCCGCAACGATCTCGACCTTCTTCGACTGCCTCGAGCTCCCGCGCGCGTGGTACATGCGTCTGGAGGCGCCGCCGTCGATCGCGGTGGCGTTTTGCCAGTCGTTTCTGCGCTTCTTTCTTTTGCTCTCGAACGTCGTGCCCATCTCTTTGGTAGTCACGCTCAACATGGTCAAGTCGCTGCAAGCGTCGCTCATGGAACGCGACCGCCACCTCCGCGATCCCTCAAACAGCGCGCCGTGCCGGGTCAAGACCATGGCGCTCAACGAAGACCTCGGGCAAGTTTCGCACATTGTCACGGACAAAACTGGGACGCTTACGCGAAACGTCATGGTCTTCCGCGCCTGTTCGGTCAACGGCGTCCTCTACGGCGGCAAGGCTGCCCCCAATGTATCCAAGTGGATGGCTTTTGCCGATGCACACTTTGACACTTGCCTCGGCGCCGGCGATGGTCCGCTGTGTACATTCTTATTGCACCTCGCGCTCTCCCACTCGGTGCTGGCGACACGTCCCGCCGACTTGAGCGAGCTCGTGGCCGCGGCCGCGTCGCCGGACGAGCAGGCGCTTCTGGCCATGGCGTATGCCTATGGCTACCGCTTTCTTGGACGGCAACCCGGCAAAGCGACCGTCCAAGTACCGGGCCACGGCCCCGTGACGTTTGACGTGCTCCACGTGCTCGAGTTTTCCAGCGCTCGCAAGCGCATGTCGGTCGTCATTCGCAACCCGCTGCGCGACAACGCGATTCAATTGCTGGTCAAAGGCGCCGACAACGTGCTATTGCCGCGCGCCGTTGCGTCACCGACCACAAACCTGCACCTACAGGCCATGGCGCGCGACGGCCTCCGGACGCTCGTGATTGCACAGCGCACGTTGCCACCGGCGCTCTACGCAGACTGGGAGAGGCGGTACGCGATTGCTGTACGGGATGTGGCACACGTGCAAGCCAAGGCCAAGCAGCAGCCCAATGCAATTGATGCGCTCATGGACGAGCTCGAAACGGACCTTGATGTGCTGGGCGCGACCGGCATTGAAGACGGACTCCAGGCGTACGTGCCGGCGACGATCGAAAAGCTACGCCTCGCAGGAATCAAGATATGGATGCTCACGGGCGACCACGTGGATACCGCGCTCAACGTGGCCCGGGCGTGCAATTTACTCAAGAATACCACGAGCCAGCTCTTATTGCTGCAGTGCGCGACGCCGACCGAGTGCTTTCGGGAGCTCCGAGGCCTCCAGAGCCGCATGCAACCGCGCACCAAGTACGCGCTCGTGGTCGACGGCGACGCCTTGTACCATGTGATGAACCTCCCGTCGGCGCACGATGCGTTCGCGGATGTTGTCCGCGCCTGCGAAGTCGTCCTCGCGTGTCGTACGTCGCCCATGCAAAAGGCGCAGGTCGTCGAGCTTGTCCAGGTCTGCTTCCATAGCCACTTGGATGGATAGATGACGCGTGATTGTAGGGACTCTTGGCGGGGACCCCGGGGCGCGTGTTGGCGATCGGCGACGGCGCCAACGACGTGGCCATGATCCAGTGCGCGCATATCGGCGTCGGCATCTGCGGCCAAGAAGGGCTCCAGGCCGCCAACGTCAGCGACTATGCGATCGCGCAGTTTTCGCTCTTGCTCCGGCTCCTCTTTGTACACGGCCGCCTCAATTACCAGCGCACGACGTTCCTCGTGCGCTATGTTTTTTACAAAAACATCATTTTGGTACAGACTAAATGGACGAATGAACGGGCTAAAGTTGGTCATCTTGTCGAATAGGTCATGTCGGAGTTTTGGTACAGCCTCGTGAGCGGCGTCTCGGGCCAGAAATTCTACAACGAAGTCGCTGTCGACAGCTTCAACACGCTCTACACCGCACTGCCCATCGTGCTCTTTGCCATCATGGACAAGGTACCCGAATCTTGTCCTATGTCTAGACCATTTGACATAGGACTTGCCGTCCTGGATGTGTGAAAGCGTACCTGGCTTGTACTCGATTGGCATTGGCAATGGCCTCTTTCGCCGCCGGTACAGTCCATCCATTCCATGGAGGTCGACGAGCATATGGACGTGTAGGATGATTTGGACGTGGATCCTCTCGGGCGTCTTCGAGTCGCTCGTCATTTGCATGGTCGCTGTGCTTACCATGAGCAGTTGCGACTCGTTGGGGCGGCCGTTTGGCATGTGGGAGTCGGGTGCTCTTGTCTTTACCCAGATTGTGCTCGTCGTCAACTACAAGGTAGCTACACGAGAATGTGAAATATGCTGACGATCCAGAGTAGCTGGCGCTGCACCAGAGTTCGTGGACGCTCGTGCAAGGCGCCGTGCTCGCACTGAGCATCCTCGCGTGGTTTGTCTCGGCATTTGTCATTTCTGCGTCGCCCGACATTAGCACGGCGTGGTATGACATCTTCCCGATCGTCATGACGTCCAACTTTTACTGGTTCGCATCGCTCTTGATCCCGGTCGTCGCGCTCTCGGTCGACCTTGTTGGTGGCGCCGTCACCACGAGCTTTCAACCGTCCAACGTCCGCGTCCTCCGCGAAGCGCTCCAAGAGCCGACGCAGAAGGAGACGCTGCGCGACCGCATGTGGCAGCTGCCCGAGGTACGCGCAACTTGTTACGTCGGATGCTGACGCATTGACGAGTAGAAACAACCGGCGCCGCTCTCAGGGTACGCGTCTGGCGTCGACGAGTTTACGGCGACGGCCGAGGCTCGACGAAGCACGACCGGATGGAACCCGCTTGGGCAGGATATAGACACGACGTGAGCCACGTTGTTCGCTGCGTGATAGATGACGATGATGTATCGACGAATGGAGATGTACATGTAGTCGATGTGAGACCATGGAATCATGGCGCATTGATGGAAGCGGACGAGAAGCAATGGTAGGAGGTCGATGCGAGTGGCTGCCACCGCGCCGGCAACGAGCCGATCGTAACAGATCAGGTCGCCGCTCTTCTTGCCCCACTGGTGTTCCATGAGCTTGTTAATGAAGCTGGCAGGTCATACAAGGATGTGCATCGGTGTAGGATCCGACCACGCAAGCAGTAGGTCCCTTGCAAGGGTCGGTCCGTGGTGAGGTGCAGAGGTCCCGGACCATCAAAGGATGCTACATGCTCTTGTAAGCAAAGAGTCTTCTTCCACCTCGTCCTCCATGTGGTGTTCGTCCCATGCGTCCATGATGGTGGGAGGCGCTAGGAAGCGCTGCGTCGAGGGTCGGATGTCGTGCGCTGGCGATCTGTGCTCGGCGGGTCCAATTCCCAACTGCTTTCCCCTGATAAAATTTCCACCAATCACAACGCTCGTCCAACGTGTGCATTTTTTTAATTGTTCGCGAGGTGGGTTTGTAACGATTTTCAAATGCACCAATGGGCGCGCTGCGTGAGCATTTTGGCCTGTAATTCCGCGAATCAACGCATGCCAAAGATTTCTACACACCAATCAAATAGGTGTATTTTAGCTGACCAATCACAAAGAATGCAACGCGCCCACGCCACCGAAGCTCGCCAGACGGGCCCAATATTCAAATTCCTGTACGAACGTCATTTTTTCAATTTGCCCGACCAGCACAATGGCCAAAGCCGCTGCCGCCACCGACGCTCCGGTCGCCGAGACCCCGATCTTGAAGGAGAAGAAGCCGCGCGCCGCCAAGGAGGCCAAGCCGGCCGCCGTCAAGGCTGCCGCGAAGCCTGCTGCCAAGGCCAAGGCTGCGCCCAAGAAGAAGGCTGCTGCCGTTGCCAAGGCCGCGCCCAGCACGTCGTACTACGACTGCATTAAGGAGGCTATCCTTGCCCTTGCTGAGCGCATGGGCTCGTCGCGCCAGGCGATCTCCAAGTTTGTCCAGAACAAGAAGGGCGACAACTTCCAGAACCACTTGCTCAACAAGGCCCTCAAGGCTGGCGTTGACAGCGAGAAGCTTGTCCAGGTCAAGGGCTCGTACAAGCTCGCCGCCTCGGAGAAGAAGCCGGTCGCCGCCAAGAAGAGCGCTGCCAAGAAGGCCGCCGCCGAGAAGGAGACGAAGGTCGTCGTCAAGAAGGCCGCTGCCAAGAAGAGCGTCGCTGCCAAGAAGGCGCCTGTCAAGAAGGCTTCCAAGCCCGCCGCCAAGAAGACGGCTGCTAAGAAGGAAGTCGCCAAGAAGACGGTCACCAAGAAGGTCGTCAAGAAGGTTGCTGCCAAGAAGACGGTGGCAAAGAAGGTCGTCAAGAAGGTTGCGGCCAAGAAGGTGGTCAAGAAGACCGCTGCCAAGAAGTCGAAGTAAATGCTTCCAAGACTCTGCATGTACTCGGGCGCTACATCGCGTCTACCCCAATCGGTGTTTATAAACACCACCCAATATTTATGGAATTTTGGTGCTCGCCCCTTTGTTACCCAGCGCTCTAGGTCAAAAGCAATCGGTTGACTAGTGAGCGACGCACACCCGTTGGTGGGGGATCCATGACTCCTACGCCTGTTCACCTTGGGGACGAGGACTAGCTGAGGTCCCTTGCTGAGCGTGACGACGCACAGAGACGGCGAGAACATCAAATCAGACTGATCAGACTCGTCGTTTGAATTTTCAAATTGTGTCGTCCAGTGCCTCGAGTCGCAGGTTAATGCGCTGTTTCAAACAGAATATAATATTCTGCGTCGTATAACATTGCCACTGTCCCAAGGCAAAACTGGGTATGAGCTGACACAGTCTTCAATTAAAACACTGTTTCAAATACACTGTTTTGATTGAGGTCCCGATGCGCCATGGGATCGCTGGCACTTTTGGATGGTCTCGCTGAAATGTCTTGTTGGTGGAACCGACCCCATGTACATGTCCATGCACAGCGAATGTCATGGCCAGCAGATGCAGATTGCTGAAGAAAGTCATCTGCTGCCTAGCTGAGGACGAGCAAACGCCCTTGACGGATCATGGGCGTTTGCTTGCGCCGTGGCACGGGTCCTTCAACCCGACCGATAGGTGTGCGATGCTTGAGGGAATGCAGTATATATAGCTTCCGCCTTCGTCGCCGACCTGCCGTTGACCTTTGCCATAGAATTGGATGTATCATCGGTGGTTGACACTTGCTACAAGGCACTGCAAACATGTAGGAACAGTCAGTATACAATTGAGTCATGTCTAGCAACAACGCAAGGTCCTTCGTTGACGCATCCTTCCGTTAATCGTTCTTGGACGATGGCGACGGCAGTACGTCGACCGTCGCCGAGTCCATGGGCACGGTGCGGTGGAACCGGTTAAAGTCGATCACCGCGGCGCCGGACGCCTCGTCAAAGTCGACGCAGTTGACAAACTGGTGGTTGAACATGACTTCGGACGCCTTGAACGACTGACGCATCTGAATCGTCGCCGACGACGACGCATCGATACCCTCGATGAGCACGATGATCTCCATCTACAGAGGACATGAGCTCCATTTCCCAGAAGCATGCCTCGACGTACATGCGTCTCCTTCCAGTAGGCCAGAATCGCGTCAATCTCCGTATTGGAGAGCGATCCTTGCGCGACCTCAGTGGCTTCGTTGAACAATTGGCCCTTGTTGGGACGATGACGGTTCTCGCGGTTGCCAGCGTCTTCGTCAGCCGCGCGCTGGACCGGCTCTACCCACAAACGTGCACTCAACCAACGCTATCGATAGAGATAACGTACCCGGAAAGCGGTAGTGGATCGCCGGGTTGTGCTCGGGCGTGTTGGACTGCATCTCGGGCGGCAAGAGCGGGCTCCACGCATCGAGGCGGTGGACGACAATCGACGGCAGCGCGAGGATGAGCCATGCGTTCAGGTCGTCGTCCGGGTGCTGGAGACGCATTGGGAACGACTGCACGTGGTGGATCTGGTGGGCCATGTGCGGGTGGCGCGACTTGTGCATGATGGCATAGCAGCGCACGTGGGCTTCGTTGAGCTACATGCCAAATTTGAGATGCAACTTCATTGTGAGAGGCAAGAAGGACCTGGTGCTTGCGCATCTCGCACGTCTGAAACATAAAGTAGAGGTCGCCACGGAGCTTCTGGAGGCATGCGTAGTTGGAGACGGCGACCGTGCTCGCACGCGCCTGGCCACGCGCGAACCGCTGGTACACGACACCAAAGACCACGGCGTTGATGAGCACGCCGGCCATCGACTAGTCATTCCATTCGCCCACGGCCACATGGACATGCACGTGTGTACCTCGGTCGTGATGGCGACGATCGCGCTGCCGCAGTTGTTGAAGAAGATGTCGTTGCCGCCCGTGCCAAAACCAATCGTGGCAATGACACTCACCGAGAAGATCCACGCTTCACCAAACGTGTTGATCGCGAGGTTGCACCGGCTCGGGACCGTCATGTACATGAGCGCGTAAAAGCCAATGAGCCCGAGGTACTAGACCAACGTCAAGGTCCATTCGACGAGGCAAGAAAGGACGTACGACCAGCGAAAACCACAAGAGCACTTTGCTAAAGCTCTGGTTGACGAGCGTGTGGAACGGCGCCTGGAAGTAGAGCTTCCACGCTTCGGGCGTGCGGATGCGGCGAATGCTACGACGCTGGACGTTAGTGGATGATCGCCTCCGGGTGGCGCGCGTACTTCCACGTGCCACGCGACTGCCGGAACGGTCCGTTGCGGTCAATGAGGCGCGTGGGCTCAGCGCGGGCAAACTGCGGCCCGTCCGTCATCTCGCGGTACTCTAGCATCCAACGGCAAGTTGAGTTGTGCGGCGGCAAAGGCAGCGAAGTATCTCGTACCGGCCACATCGGTCGACGATTTGTTCGAACCTTCTGCGCGCATGCTTTTGTAAAGTGATTTGCCGGCCAATTATACTCTGTCGGCAGCGAAACAGCCGCGCGATCCGACCGTATCTTGGGTGCTTGCGTCGGGTCAAATTGGTAGGACCTGTAGATGGGGACCTATGCAATCCAAAAACGTCGATAAGCGATTGCAAGACACAATGTGGTTTTTGGGGAGACCTCTATGCGAGGTGGGACCCAAAAATACATGGTGACGATGCGACACACCTCTCGCAAGAGGCGTCGCAGGCAGCAGTCTGGCGCACTGTCTTGAAGCGACTGACTCGCCATCAGCGACGTGCAGCAGAATATCGCTTCCGTCGTCCATTGCGACGTCTGCATGTTCCTTACCGGCGACCATTTTTTGCGCCCACTTCGATGGGGCCAGTTGAAGAGTTACCGTGTACAAGCTCACAGGCATTTGCGATGATGTGGCAGCCGTTGCTGGATACCGGTGCACCAACCCTGATGCAAACCACCGCGAATCGCTGGCAAGCCGCTGACACCATGCATTCAGCACTCTGTACGGAATACTAGCGTTAGCACAAGGTGTAGCTCATTTCCTTCCTGCGAGAACGCAGCATGCAAAGAAAGCCGCGAGCTTGGGCACAGTTCGTCGCATCACTCTCGGGTTGCTGGCGCGACAAGTGCGAAATAATTGGACCCATGTCGCCACGGATCCAGGTACACCGGTGTATGCATTCGTCAATGTAGACCGCTTTGTGGACGATCGTGGCCGCAAATGGGATGTTCCTCGTTCTCTGTACTTGGCAGGTGCTGCACCTGTACTGGGACGGATCTGGCGCACTGGGATGCTCGGATCCGCCCACATTCTGCGAGCGCCACGCTCGACGTCCACCCAAAGACAAACTTCGCTCCAGTATAGAAGGTCCAATTCAGCGAATCAACTCTGTCCTTTCTGACTGCATTACGCCTCCTTCCTATATACGTTCCCCGTTCCTGGCGCGTGTTTACCTTTCGCTTCCTCCTCTACACTGGCCTCATGCAAAAGGCAACTTCAATTACCTTCCTCTATGCATATATTCTCATAATTAATACCTATATATTTTGATATATATCGAGCCACCTCCAGGATTGCATACCGGCAATATCGAAGCTCGTTTTCGGATCATCCGCAGTCGACGACGATGGACGGGTACGCGCGTCGGTGGATGACCTTCTTGCGCGTCGAGAGCGCCGAGGTCGAGCGCAAGGCCTACGAGACGCTGCGCGATCGCATGCAGTTCAAGGCTGGCGAGCACCACCCGCTGAGCGACGACGCGGCGAATCCATGGAACCAAGCCTTTGAGGACGAGCCGCTCGTGCGCGAGATCAAGACGGACCTCGACCGCCTGTACCCGCAAGGCCGCGAAATGTACTTCCAGGAGCGCCCGGCGTACATGGCCATTCTGCACAACGTGCTCTTTGTGTGGTGCAAGACGCACCCGGCGGTCGGCTACCGACAGGGTATGCACGACCTCGCCGCCGTCGTCCTCTACGCCGTCGTACATTCGACGAGCAAGCCAATGGACGAAGACACGATCGACGAGTTTACCGAGCATGACGTCTACATCCTCTTTGCCGCGCTCATGAGCCAAATGGAGCCACTCTATGCCGTGCACCAGACACCCTTGGCGCGCGACGACGCCGTCACCGAGACGACCGCCGACAGCTTGTTTCGGCCGGCAACACCCAGCGCGCTCGCGCCACTCTCGCAGCTCCAGACGCTCTGCCAGTTTATCCAGCACGACCTCTTGGCCAAGCACGACCCGCAGCTCGCTTGCCACCTCCAGCACGTCGATGTCCTGCCTGAAACGTACTGCTTGCGCTGGGCACGGCTGCTGCTCGCACGCGAGTTCCCACTCGATGACATTGTCCGCGTCTGGGACGCCATGCTCGCGCACGAATCCACCTGTGCTATTACGTCGTCGCCGCCGATCGGGTTTGCCCTGCTCCCGTACCTCTGCGTGTCGATTTTGATCCATTTCTCAAAGACGCTCCGCGGCTCGGATAACACGGGGTGTCTCCAGCTGCTCATGCGCCCCGCCGAGCTCAGCGCGGCCGAGATCATCGACAGCGCCCGCCTTCTCTTGGACCCGTTCCGCGAAGCGCAGCACGAAGACATGGACATTGTCGAGTTTGGGCCTGGGTCGCTCGGTGTCGTCTTGACTGCCGCGCAATCGCCGTTCGAGAACCGCCTCGCAGTCAAAGAATTCAAGCCAACGGCCTCTTCGGGGGCGCCAAAGGGGCCCGCAGAAGCGTCGGGCGTCGTCCGCATCGGTGATCTCGTCGAGTCGGTCAACGGCGTCAAGATCTACGGCATGAGTACGGACGACATCCGCAAGCACATTGCATTGCTCCCGCGGCCGCTCGTCATGTCGTTCCTGCACGTTGAAGACGCTTTGCCCACGGCCGATGCCTCGGCGCTCGACGACTTGAGCTCGTTTGGTATCGTTCCTGACTTTTTGCCCGGCGAGCAGTGCTACGCCCACGTCGAGACGTCCATGTACGCGCCCGTGTTCCACCCGCCGTCGGGCACGTGTGCGTCGCACTACATGGCCGGTCGCCTCTTCTTGACCAACTACCGGTGCATCTTCCAGCCCGAGGCAGGAACGTCGTCGCGTTGGGAGATGCCGGTGCTTTCGATCGCGTCGATTCTCGCCGAGTCGTCGCTCGTAGAGTCCGGTACGCACCACGTGGCGGTCGTGCCGGCCTCGCACACGCTCGGCGTCGTCTGCAAGGACACGCAGAGCGTCCGGTTTACGTTTCGGAATCATGCCGAGTACGCGCGCATGTTCAAATGCCTCACGGTGCTCGCGTACCCGGCGTCGCTCACGGATGCCTTTTGCTTTGTCTACCGCCCGCTCTTGCTGCCGGCGAAGCAGCTGCCGTCGTTCGACATTCGCGACGACTATGAGCGCCTCGGGCTCCTCGGCCCGCGCTTCCGCTGCATTGACCAAGCCTACTTGCTCTGCGACACGTATCCCCGGTACCTCGTCGTGCCCGTCGCCATGTCGGACGTCAAGCTCCAGGCTGCCGCCGCGTTCCGGTCGAGTCGACGTCTTCCCGCCGTGTGCTGGCAGCACCCAACGAATGGCGCGGTGATTTGCCGCTCGTCGCAGCCGCTTGTCGGACTCAAGTCGGCGCGGTCGAGCGAGGACGAAGACCTCGTCCGGCTACTGTGCCAGCCAGAGAACCCGGCGGCCCTTGGCGCGTACCAAAGTCACCGGTACGTCATCATGGACGCGCGTGGGCAGCTCGCGGCGGCAGGCAACAAGGCGATGGGCAAGGGCACCGAGAGCCCGGCCAACTACCGCGGCGCCAAAGTTGTCTTTATGAACATGGACAATATCCACGCGGTGCGCGGCTCGTTCCAGGCGCTTGTCGCGGCGTTCGACCCGCTCAGCGACGACAACTACCTCGCCAAAGTCGATGGTTCGGGCTGGCTCAAGCACGTGCGACTGGTACGAAATTGAGAGGTTTGGAAACACTCGAGGACGACTCTTACTAGGTGCTTCGCGGGTCGTGGGAGCTTGCCGAGTACGTGCACAGCGGCGTGTCGGTGCTCACGCACTGCAGCGACGGCTGGGACCGCACGTCGCAAATGGTGTCGCTGGCCGAGCTCATGCTCGATCCATTCTACCGGACGCTGGCGGGCTTTCAGGTTTGGACCAAAAACTCAAGATGAGAATGTGATCGCATGGAGGCTAGGTGCTCGTCGAGAAGGAATGGTGCAGCTTTGGCCATCAGTTTGGCTTGCGCTGTGGCCACGCGCGCAGTGATGTCTCGAACGAGCAGCGGTCGCCGATCTTCCTTCTCTGGCTCGACTGCGTCTGGCAAATCATGCGCCAGTTTGAGACCGAGTGCGAGTTCAACGAGAGCTGCCTCCTCCTCCTCGCCGACCACGTGTACTCGTGCAAGTATGGCAACTTTATGTTTGACTCGGAGAAAGCCCGACTCGAGTGCGCCAAGCACCACACTGCTGCGAGCATTTGGGCCGACATGCACGCGTCACGGGACAAGTTTGTCAACCCGCAGTTTGCGCCCCAGCGCACGCTCCTCTTTCCGAGCACGACATGGAAGAATATCAAGTCGACTTGGTTGATATTGTGCCTGATTGTCTCATGGTCAACGTGTAGGCTCTGGAAGGCGTACTTTGCGCGCTTTGACCCGACGTTTGTGCCGCCTGTGGCCAAACTCCAGTTCTACTAAACTTTAGTTCTACTAAACGCACGATTCATTGTCCACGGACGCTTGTATGATATATTGATACTAACACAATTGTAATGTCTTGGTCAGTCGTTGCTGCTGCCCTAGCGACTGCGGGCACGTAAGTCGTCGGCTTGCACCCACGATGACCCCCTGCCACAGTGACGACAAACAGGATCCAGATCTGACATCGTCGTCCAGATCTTTAGAGAGGACGCTGGGCTACTGGGTACGACCAGATTGGTCATGAGCGAGGTCCCATTCGTCAGGACGCGCACTGATGCTCATCACTTTGGCTCGCACGCATCGCGCTTGGAACAGCGGAGGAAGAGTTCGTACGTTGTACTCTCAAAGTCCAGTTAAACTGCCGGCTTTACCACTACGGACTCCATCGACGACGGACAAACGGCTTCGAGGGTTGTGGTTGTATCAAGGTTCTGTCAATGGTGGTGTGCACTCAACGCGTGAGCTGCTACTACGAGCAGCAGAGTATCTGATAGCAAACGCATTACTACGGTTGTTTTGCTTGGTCGGACAAACCATTCTGTGGCACGTTGAAGCCGACATTATTCCCTCGACTGAAATTCGTCCAGAGAAAGTGAATAACCAAGGGTGGTCATTGACGGGTTTTTTTTAATGATCGCTCATTTCCATTGTAAGCTTACCGTAGTAGTTATTCCCTTGGTCCAGAGGTACTCGTGCCCTAAACGATCAGCTTGGGTGGGCGTGGGAGGAGGCGCCGTCGATTCAGTGTATTCCTTTCGCACTCTGGTGCTTGGACGGAAATGCGATCACGACCGTGCGTAATGTCTGGAGCTATCACCGATCATGTCGTATCCGCCTTCCGCTTGCCACTTTGCATTTTGCAGCATGTTTCAGCGCGTCGCTCGCTTCCTTCCACGCCGACTCACCAAGATGCCGTCGGCGCCACCCCGCATCAATTGGTCCCGCGTCACCAAACAACGGCCCAGCGCTGTGTATGGTGCCTTGTCCAACAAAGTCGCAAGCTTGAACCTCTACAGTGTGCTCTCCAAGATGCAGTGGACGCTCCGCCCGACGACGACGCCGGCGCGGACGTACAAGCCACGCTACGTCACCCTTGTGGGTGGCCACGCGGTGCCGTTCCATCCGTTCGAAACGCAGGTTAGCAAAGTGCAGCGTCAAGCCCTCGGCAAAGCTCTCTTTGTGATCCCCGAAGACTCGGACGGCGAGACCGACGACGACGACGATGCTTGACCGCACCGGCACCGCTCGAGAACGCAGTTATTTATCCCGTGGTGTAGTATCTCAGTCTCTTGGTCGACGAGGGACAATAGTGTAATTTTTATTATAAAAGAGTTGTTTTTATAAGACAATTTGGTCAAAACGACAACCTGGTACCGGTAGCTTATTCAGCCGATTCCCAGTGGCGAGACTCCTTGAGAACCCATAAAGACCGTGTTCGCGTGTTAGATGGGGCGGCGGACAATGCTACGGTTGCCACGGATCGTCACGTGCTCGCTCTGCGCAGTGCTGCAAAGCCGCATGACGAGTGCATTCGACCGTGCATCTAGCGCCTTCCACATGTGCTGGGCGTACGAGACTTGCTCATACGACTGGCCCGGCGCCAAGACCATGTACGGAACCTCCGTGGCGTTGGATTTCTCCCACACGAGAGCAACAGCAGCTCCGGTCGCATTGAGGAAGTGCAGGATTATCGGCGTTGGCGTCGCTGTATCGGAAGACACGCGCAGCGACTGGACATCAAGGACCTCGACGACGCTTGGCGTCGATGGTGCCTCGTAGTATTCGAGGAGCCCGCCCGCATGCATGATCTTCCACACATGTCCGACGTACGTGTCTTGCGTGTAGAGCATGTCAGGTGCTACGCGGCTGTAGGGCACGTCATCACCGTCTTCGTCGACCCAGATAATGTCGATTGGTACTCGGAAGCGGCACACAAAGGTGATGCGGGTCGGCTGCTGGCTCGTTGGCGACCGACGACGCGGTGCATCAAGCGGCGGCGCCGACGGCCGCAGTGTCACAAGAGTCGTCGAGCGTGTCGCGGTGGTGGCCGCTTGGTGCTCGAGGATCGCTTGCTTGAGCGAGTAATTGGGCATGAGCTCCGTCGACGGCAGCTCTTCGTTGGTCACGGGACTCCGCCGGTGCGACTGGAACCAGCGCGTGATCTGCGCCCGCTCGTACGAGTGGCCGTCGCGCGCAATCACGGGGTCGCGCATGATCTCGCACGAGATCGGGCACAGGAACGAGTGCAGCCCGGCCATGTTGCACTTTCGAGATGACAGCGGAACAGAGACCATCACTCTGCAATGACGTGGGCTGCGGACACGCAACTCAAACTAAGATCTTAGTTCGAATCGAGACCTTGACAAAGGATTACAGTGCCTGGTCAATTACAGAGGGCACGAGATGATAAATACACTAGCTCCAAGGGCGGGTGTGTATATCATCTTATGCAAGGGCTCTCCGTGCGGCTTTCCCGGCTCGGGCGCCGGTAGCGGACCTATTTCTTTCCTTGGACGGACTCGGTGATGATCTTGGCAATGATATGTCGGTTGATGTCGACATCTCCGTGATCCGGAACGCGCCGAGCCACGTGACGAGCAGCTTCTGGTATTATTTATCGTGTCCAGACCAAAGAACGTAGCAGATGTTTTTATTACATGCATCTAAGGGATACCCTGGAACATACTCACCGACGCTGGCGACACATTCCGATGTGTTCAACGAGAGTCGGCTCCATCAACCACGTGTACTCGTGCAAGTATGGCAACTTCGTGATCGGCTGTCGCGCGTCACGGGACAAGTTTGACGACTCGCAGCCCACACTCCTCTATCCGAGCACGACCTGCAAATATATGTGCCCTTTGTTAATGATACGGTACAGGATGTCGATGTATCTGAAAGGCGTATTTGCGCGCTTTGACCCGACGTTCGTGCCGCCCATGGCCAAAGTGCCGTTCGACTAGAAGGACACTCACTTCGGATGCTTGCTTGCGCGCAACGGTAGCGATATTCCGTTGCAGGTTG